GAATCTATCGTGACACATACATCTTAGTTCAAATCTGATTATATTCATACTAACTCGTCTTTATTATTCACTAAAAATCTGTTTCAAGTTATGATTTTTAATGAATAATCTGTTTCAAGTTATCCCTACCGTAGCTGCTACCTTGACGTGGTGGTCGGGCTTGCCTATCCTGATGACCCAACCGAGCTATACTGGCTGGAACATATGTTCCTGCAGGTCCTACCATGCCAGGCAGGTCGATTGGAGAACGATGAAACTAAAAGCAGCTACCCAAGGTCTGAGGGCGAAGTCGTACTGCTGAATGCAGAGGGGTGTGACAGCAGTAAGGTGTTTCCCTCGGACAACCAGCGTCTGCAGCGATGCTGCCTTCTCACAAGGAAGGAAGGGTTAGAAAAGGTCGACCCTAAAAATGTCACACCTCACCCTATCTCACGGATTTCCGTCTCCGGCGGCAAAGGTGCCCACTAAGGGCCTTTAAGAGCGGAGCTGATAATCAAAAAACCTTTCATAAAAAGGCCGTGCGTAAACGGCCTCAAGCTGTTGTCCCTTGGGCTCTGCGGTCACGCACCCAGATCTCCAAGATCAACACTAATCTCTCTTCCTTTTCAGATCCCTCAAGAAACAACCTTCCACGGTGTGGGCAGCCGGGAAGTGACAACCGCCCTCATACCCGTAACAGCACACGAGACCAAGTCGGTCGGAATCAAATCCTTCCTACACCCACACATACCTCTCTTCTCTCCACAACGAACTCTTCTCACAGTCCCTTTTCTCACTGCACCGCTAATGCAGACGAAGCGAGTTCACGAAACGTCATTCCTGGTCTCTTGAAACCCCCACTCCAGACTACATGTTGGAGCTTTTAATGTACGGACATTGTGTCAAATAGGGCAACAGGCTTCCTTAGCTAGGACTCTAGAATCTTGTGCCATCGATGTATGCCGTGTCTCGGACACGCGCATACAGAATCCTAGTAAAATTATTAATCTGATTACTGGTTTTCGATCATAGGTGTCTTCGAAGCATTGCTCTTATATCCTGGGACAACCGAGTGAACAACGCTGTTATTAGGAAACGGGTGCTAGGTAAGAATGGCAGATCAATAGATGAAGTACTGAAACTTCATCAGTTGAGGTGGTTGCTACATGTGTTGCGTATGCCCAACCACCGACTGCCTCGAAGAGCTTTGTTTTGTAGTGTAGGAGTAGGTTGGAAGAAAGTTAGGGGCGGCCAAACCAAAACATGGCAGAAATCCATGAAGTCATTGACGAATGGACTTAGCAATGTCGGTAATTGTCGACCACCTGGTTGGGGTGCGCGAGATGATAATAATCGATGGTCAGAGACCTTGAATGACATGGTTCAAAATCGTTCGCAATGGCGCCGGTGCATTTATGCTTAGTGTTCTCTCAAATCCTAATCTTCTGGGTTCTTCAACACCTCTAGTTTTGACTTTCTAAACTTTTCTCACTGAATCATACTTTTTGAATAATATCTTCTAATCCTAACCTCTCAGATTACTTCTAATACCTTTACTACCTCTTCTACTATCGGATTTGAATTGACATTTACATCTCTGTGCTAGTGTGGTATGCCGACATGAACTGATGTACTTACGTACGAAGTACTACGTTACATCTGACTGACTGACTGTTTCAAGTTATCCGTAATCGAATTATAAACATTTTATCTGTATATCACTTGAGACAGACAAACTAAGTAATAGCAATTCTCTAAGAACCTGCGTACATTGGAACGAATTCATCAGTTGAAATATTCCAACACAATGTCAGACAGTATACACAATAGAAAATATATATTGATGAACAGTGCAAAAATTGATCTCAGTCAAGTGAATAACATACCTTCGAGCAGTTTTTAAATCACGACATGCCATATAACGTTGAATTTGTGTTTGATTAGCACCGAATATACTAAGAACTAATCCAGTTCCACCAATCACTAACGTCCATAATGTATGTCGTTTAAAAGGATCAATACTGAAACTAAAATAACATACCAAGTTGGTTATTTAAACTAAATAATTAAGGTAAGAAAGAGTATCATCAGGTAATTATTTGCACAAAGAAAAAATTGAAAACATATGGATCAAATTGTAGTCGTGACTTTTACAAAAATCTAATCTGTTCATTACACGTTACACATTATTCATTTTATTGTTCATTGAAGAAGAATTATTGCAGGGTAAAATAATCAGAGAAATTTTTTTTAAAAAAACAACTGAATAATAGAAAATTCTGCTGTCTAAGCAAAAAAAGCAACATCAGAACACAATAGTTCAGTTTTAAAAACAGAAATAACAAAGTTTTATTTAAATCTATTGCATATGTTGTATCAATCTAACAATTATTGATTCCTGATTTCAGATGGAAAACAACAATTTACATATCTTTGTAGTGAGTATTTGTAAAATGTGCTCAGTAGAGACTGCCTTTGCGTGGAAATTCATGGAGTTCTAGTGAGAAATCGTGATCAATCGAGTTCAACCCAACCGGGTGTAGGCAATAACTACCGAAGACATGGATTAGGTTTGAGCAATACCTTAGACTGATCAAAGTTGGATATTAACACCGTTTTATGCCACTGGCTTAATGGTCTAGAGACTAAGTGTTCATGCGTGAGACCGAAGGTCCTGGATTTGATTCCCGTGAGCGAGACTTGCACCTCTGATGAGTCCCATACTAGAAAAAAACGGCCGTCTATTCCTTACAGGTTTGTAAGGGTGGTTTAACAATGACTGATTCATGATTACAAAATGCAAATTAATATAATCAGCATTATAAAAAATTTACAGTTTATGTAAGGCCACAAAATATTACCTTGACAACCAAAACAAGGGGGCGTAATGTATAGAGCACCGACTGATATTCTTTGTAAAAATTATATTAGAAAAAAATCTGAGCGATTTAAAACTTGATAATAATAATTATTATTTTATTATTATCCTGAAGAAGCTCGGACAAGATAGCTGGAGAAAATGTTAGTACTGTTTACAAATTTCAATCGTTGAGATTATTTCGAACATAATATCTACAACTAATGTCTTCTATATACATTTGAAATCATCAATCAATCATTGTTAGACCACCATTAGAAACCTGGAAGCACTGGACGGCCGTTTCGTCCTGGTATGGGACTCATCAGCAGTGCGCATCCACGACTCCTGCTCCTCGCAGGATTCGAACCCGGGACCTTTGGCATTGTAGGCGAACGCCTTACCATCGGACCACCGGGCCGGCATCCAACGGTGTTATTGTCTAACTCTTCTATATACTCGACGTTGAACTTTTGCCAAATAACTCGTTCAAACATTGGTAAATATTTGTATAAATAAACATACAGGTTAATAAGAGAAACAATATGTTTTGATTCCGTTATCTATTGATATATTTCAAATCTATGGAATAAATCTTTAAAAATTGGAAAGAAAATCTTTTTAAGGATTATATAACAAGGCAAGTAATTTTCAACTGATTACAATTTAGAGATACACAAAAATCTTAGCATCGCACCAACTGTTCAAGTTGATATCTTATATTACGGATTAATTTTGATTAAACAACACTTGAAAACCTAAAAGTATTGAACAGTTGGATCACTTGGGAAAATGCAAAGCCATTAGAGACACTTTGACGGAACAGCTAGCCAGCGCTTACAGTTAATTTTGCCGATTGTCTAATTAAAGTATTGTCAATCAATGATTTGAAACTTCAATTGTATACATACATTTCAGCTTATCAACTTTCACGAACTTACTCAAAAGATTGAAGACGTTGACCATCTATTACTATGCGCCATAGACGTTGGAGTCCACCGACTTTTAAAGTAATCAATACTGTAATGAAACAGAATCCACCGATGAAAATAATCAGCTGAAAGAGATCAATCCATACTACTGCACGAATACCTCCCTGAATAATAAATTAAAGTGATCAAAACAAAAACTTATAATGAATTTACCTTTTGTGATGGTTTATTTTGGGAGAAAATTCAGTTTTTGTCAAGTTCTGATTATATAAATCAATATAATTGATAGCGTAGTATAAATTCATGTCAATCAATCATATCATTCATCGTTGCGTGATAATTATAAACATTAACGGAGAATGATTCACTAGTGCAGGCACCTATTTGTCATCAGTGGTTATATTATGATGGTAGTCAGTCGGCCAGCTACAACGTACCACTTCGTACTTACGTAAATTAGTTCAAATTGTCATACCACATTAGCACACAGAGATCGAATGTTTAATTCAAATCCCATAATAGTATAGATAATAACGTAATTAGCGGTAATCAAAAAGATTGGTGATCCAAAGTTTCACTCGAGAAGTGTATCCCAGAAGAATCAGTTTTTTATAAAAGGGAGAGATGAAAAAGAGGTTGTGAGGGGTTCAGAAGATTAGAATTTGAGAGAACACAAAGAATGGATGCACCCGCGCCGTCGCAAACGATTTTGAGCCATGTAATTCAAAGTCTCTTACCATCGGTTACTATTGTGTCATGGAACCCAATCAGATAGTCTATACCTACTAACGTGACTCAGTCTGTAGCACCTCACATATATCTTGTACTTTTATCATTGTTGAGCTTGTATGCGTATGTACGCTTGGGTATTGCTTGCTACCTACACATATAGATATTTGGCTAGCTGTATCGATTAACAGTTTGAATAATTCGATGTCAATATCGACTATACATATTTGAATTAAATCCGATTTTGTGTCGATCATAAAATAATTTGAATAATAAAGAGATTGTGGCAACGACTCGTGTTCTCTCGTAGCGATCACCAAGACGGAGATATACAGGAAATCGAAGATAACGAAAGTCTAACGCCATAAGTCCACTTGTCAATGACTCCATGGATTCGTCCCATGGCTGCCTCTAGCTTTCTTACATCCTACCTCTACACCAAGAATCATCGCATGTCGAGGTAGTCGGTGGTTGGACATTCATAAAGCATGTCCTTACCACCTTTATGATGGTAGTACTGGTTTCTAGAGGAATTCAAAACAAATATCTCGATAAAATAACCCAGCAACAAGAGACTAAACCTCTTTTTAAACAAAAAATAAGTCAGTGACCAAATGAACGGGCATTTCAATATTTAAAGGTGAAACAATCGAGATCTTAAGTAGTTTCAACGTGTCGTTCAGCAATATGAGCTTGGTTAGGAAAATAACTAAACATAAAGCTGTCAATGATAAAACTGTAAGAAACATTTGCGTATCAAACGCTTATCCATAAATATTCAAATGTAAACTTTTTGTTCAATAAAAATATGTTCAACATGAACCATGATGAGGTATCTGTGTGCACAAATGTGTTCTTGTTAATGGAATCTACCAAATAACTAAAGACTTCAGATAACTTAAACTTCATTCAGTGAGATTATTACAAATGGATGCGCAATGCTGATGTGTTTCATACTAGGAAAAAACCACCGCCCAGTACCACCGGATGTCTAATCATGATATAACATTGGACGATTCATGATCTCAATGAAACTCAACAATCTTCACAACTCTATAATGAAAATATAATTTTACCAATAATAT